AGTTTGTTGTCAACAATGAGGAGCCATCGCAGAAAGTGTGCAACTCTCCTGGCAAATATTTCTACTATTTCTGATTTAGTTGCCTTTAAATCCTATTTTCAAATTGGAGGCATTGTCCACCGATATCTAGGCCGTCAAACCCTAGTATATCTTCTTTCCCTGGTGTTTCTTTATTCATTTTTAGATCAGATTTATATATCTATTACAAACTTAAGGTTTTTCTATATAGGTTATGGAAGATGATCAAGAAATTGCTTCATATATGTTTCGTAGAACTGTCCCTTCTATGCACCTATCCCCTGAGGATGTACGATGGATGGTATGTGTGCTTTGCTTCCACTTTACTGTCCTTTGGATGTACATTTTATAGCTTCACTCAAACTGCTAAGAACTTTCACATTGGCTGTTACCCAACGTTCACTGTCATCATCTGACCAGGAGTTTTAAGATATGGAATGGTGATTGGGTGTTGGTCACTTGATTATACATGATTCACTTTTATACAGTGAAAGAAGTTGTAGTACAGATCCTAAGAATGATTCACTTGATATGGCTTAATTCGTTTCTGTTGCTAACTTTCTTTCGTGAGTGATTCTTCAATCTGGTTATCTATATAGATGCCTTATTTTGGAGAATATGAATATGTGGAGGGAGTAGAATTTTGGGAAACTCACTATTTGAATTAGACCTTTACTGTGGCACAACACTAGCTTTGGCTTATTTTTGAAGCATCTGAACTGTGTAGGCACTGAAAATTTAAAGATCATCTACAGCCATTAGTGTCTATTTTTATTAGTGGAAGAAGGGATAAGTATTTTAGTTTGTTTTATAATATCAAGATAAATAAGTAATGTCCTTTGGGTTGAATAAGAGTGAGAAGTTCACAATTATGGATTTAACTTCTCTAGAGTGAATATTTTTTTTTGGAGATAAAGTGCAGAGTTATAACATGTGATGAAAAAGTCAATGGTGTGATATTCTAATAAAATAATTCATATTGTAACATGCTATAAAGTTGTTAAAGTTATAATAATTATTAAATATAATAAAACTAGGTATATGATTAATTTCCCTTGTATGAAAAATATACATGAAATAATGTATTTATAATAATGAGAATGTGGGCTAAGCCCAAATACAAATGAATATGTAAAAATAATATAATTAACACAGGGAAATAAGTGCATATAAATATAATCATTTGATATAGGTTCTTAATATAAATCGGAGCCATGCTTTCCCTCATTGATTGTTTCAATGTATGATTTTTGGTTGGATGGACAGAGGGATAGAGGAGGCGAGGGGGTTACGGGGAAATATGTGTATTTTATGTTGTTGTATGACATGTTCTCTGCTACAACAATAATTTTCCTGTTGTCGTAGGGATATGGAGGAGAGAAATTTGTAGTCAAATCCTGTCATATTTGTGGAATTTTTAACTCATTTCTACTTTCTCCTTTTGCTGGTATCCTGAATTACCTAGGTTGGAGCTTGGAGAGACAGGATCATAATATGCACAGGGACACATGGACCTACTGCTGCTCTTATAAAGGCCTTTCTAGACTCCGGTGCCAAAGCTATTGTTTGTCCTTCAAATGAACCTCCAGAGTCTCAGACGAGCAATGTTGATGGTTACCAAGAGTTGAATGCGGTGGAAAATGGAAAATTTGAAATTGGAGAGGATGAAGCAGATGATGAGGCCGTACCCAACAGTCCAGTAAGTGACTGGGAAGATAGTGACCCTGAGAGATATGGGGACCACACTTTGTCTTTTTGGGACGATGATGAAGAGGAACTGTCACATTTTGTTTGCCATTTGTATGATTCATTGTTCAGGGAAGGTGCTAGCATCGATGTTGCTTTGCAACATGCTCTTGCCTCGTATAGAAGAATGAGGTATGTGTGCCATCTCCCCGGCGAACAATAATTTTGATCACTTAATCTCACACAATAAAAGACAAAAATAAAACATGAGCGAGGGGGTGAAAGATAAGAAGCGGAGTCTGTATGAGATCATGTTCTATTAAATTGTAGTCGATAATCAGTTTTGAGGCTCATAAAAGGTATGCTTTTATTGCTGTTTACGTATCCCTTGCTATTTTATTCAGTTTCTTGTTCATCAGTTCCTATGTAACTATGTAACTGTAATGACATTGGAGGAGGATTAGGGCTTCGTATTATATGTATGTATTATAGTCACACATTCTCATACTTTTTTTTAGCCAATCATATATTCCTACGCTCAAAAGAAATACAGACCAATTTCGGCTTTTACTGCCTGCACCTCCATCATTACTAACTGCTTCCATATCAATACTTAAAAAGACTAAAGTACCCTCCCTCAATGTACTTAGCACTGCTAGTTGGATGTCAAATTTGATTATAAATAAAGATATTATTTTAACATAATATCAAAAAATAATTATAAATAATGTCAAATCTCCATCAAAATATATATTAGAAGTAACAAATTATTTTAAACTAATTTGACCTGTTGACTATATTATTGTTATTTTGGCTTATTCATTATCATGAGTTCATAAAAAAGGACGAATTCTTCTTCACTTTTCCTTTATTAATATTTGGTGGATCCATTCATATATCAACACTTTTTATTACGAAAATTGGGATGCACTTTGTATTTATTTCTATGAAATGATTATTCTTCTTAATAACATACAAATTGAACAATATTCCAAGTTCCCTCCAACTTAGTCTTTCTCAATATCAACTGATAGAGATATCTCAAAAACCCTCCTTCTTGTTAAATATAATGCAAGAATAACAACAGTAAACGCAGGTTCCTTTAAACAATAACCCAATCAATGAATAACATGGTTCAACACTAAGCTGAATAGACTATACTTAGAGCTTTTGCACTGAAAATACAAATTGATAGACTTAATTGCATTACAGCATATGTATATGACTTTAGGAGTCTATATCCCAAAAACAAAAATTATCTCCCTTAAACTTCAAACACAACAATCCCATCTCATTAAATAACATTTTTCCTTCCAAAACGCAACAAATAGATTTATCCTACTTTTAAGACTTAAAAAGGAAAATTGTGTAATTTTATTATAATTATTTTCAAAACCATATTATTGATATTTTAATTGATTGGTGGAAGATTACACTCACATTTCCTACTCATTAAATTTAATTAATGGATATTCTGTTATTTTCATATTGAATAACTATGTTAATCGTATTAATGTCGAAAAATTAGTATTAGCTCACTGATATAGAAAAAAATAATAATAGCGATATTCATTCTATAAGGTCATTTAATATGGTTTTTCTTCATTGAACTGAAAACATGTTAAAACACTCCCTGGAAGCGATACCAACAAATAAACTCTAGGAAAAGTGCAAAGAAATCATGTTTTTAATTGATTTATGTCATTTATTTCTAAAATCTTATTTTATTATATGTTATGTAAAAAATTAATCATAGAAAACAAAAGAAAAATATTATTGAATTATTGACCTACAATAAAAATTATTAAATTCGAAACTACTATAAAAAAATCTATGAATAAAAAATAATTAGATTAAAATTAAATCTCTTGGCTGTCTATTTATAAAATTATTACAATTTTAAATAAAAAATAATTAAAGGTATATATGTATCTATACTATCGATGTCCCAAATACATGTTTATAGAAATTTGAAGATCCAATTAAAATAGTAAATAATTAAGAGATCTACTAATTAATTTATGTTATTCGATTAGGTTAACTACAACATTTCACAGAGGATGGAAAACATCTCAATATTCATTCCTTCCTTTTGGAAAGCCTGACATACAAAGGAATGATAAAACCTTATTTTACGTTTGTTAGTCTATTTTTTATAATTTCGATATTTTTACGAATTTTTCTACTTTGCTATTTTATTAGTCTTTATACAATGAGACAAAACAATAAAGATATAATTTTACGTCATTTTCTATTCTACTAAAAACTTAAGAAATCATCTTACCAATATCACAGTAAAAAATTGTGAGTAACTAGATTTTTTTTCTTCCTTCCAAAATTTAAGCTGAAAACAATATGGAAATATACAAATGGGGGTTTCTTAATAATGGATCATGATTGAAGAATATAATACTTAATAATGACACAGATAGTGCTTACAATATTCATTATAATGTCTTCAATTTTTCATTTACTGTATTGGCTTCTTTTTTTCCACACATGCCATTAAATTTCCATGCTGATACTGCAAGTATCCTGTTGCATTTCCAGCTGATCATGTTTTTCATGATACCAAACACTGTAAGATAATCACATCAATGCCAACAAAACATGTTTTTTGATTAAATAAAGAACTCCCATAACTGGTTGTTAGATTTATTAATTCTGTTTGGTAAAAACTGTATTAGTTTTAAATATAATCACGTCTTGTTAGTATGTCATTCAAGGATAAAAGTGATTAGATCAGATTATAATTTAACTTAAAAAAGAAAAAGATTTTTAAAACAGAAGAATTAAGAGGAAGACAGCAAATTGCCAGACCCCATGTCCAAAAAGCACACAACCTAGACAACGAAAGAGCAACCTTCTTTCCTCTGGCCAAGGCACAAAAGGTGGAGAGTCAAGAGCAACTTTTGCTACAAATTGAAAAGTGAAATTTCAATTTTGTCAATACAGCAATTGTGGAAGAACTCAAGGGGACAAATTGCAGAAACCAAATTCGTACATATCATGATCAGTAATTGTATATATAAGTATAGTGTGCATAAGAAGCAAGCTATTATATAGTTGGAGAAGTCAAAAGGATAAAGTGAGATTTCATTGCAGAGGTTGAGGTAATTTGATATTTTTGTTCACTTTATAAAGTTTCAATAATCATGGGACTTGATGCTTTTGATAAAGCATGTTGTCGTCACAAATTTAAAATTAAATTTAGGATGATGGCCACAACTATCTACATCTGGAAGTCTCATTGATGAATGCATCCATTTCAAAAGCAGTAAATTCAATGCACTATATATGAAAGCATTGTCACTGCCATAAAAAACCATATTTCTAGAAAGAATGGGTGCTCCTACTCCAGTTGCTGTAGGAACAAGAGGCACAATTGGATCCCTTGTGAGGAAGGAAATTGAGTACTTCTCCAAATTTGAGATAGGAAACTCACAGAGACCTCAACCTCATTATGTTTGCAGAGCTAGTTTTTGGGTGTTTCTGATGACAGGAAAGAGAAGGAAGAGAAGAGATAACAGTGTGTTTCTCCCAAAAATGTGTTCTGTTACACAAGTGGTGAAGAGCAGTGAGTGGAACAGAGTTCCTGGTTATGGCTACAGGATCCTCAAGGATGACATCGATAACATTCATCTCTGACTGAATTTCAATCTACTTTCTTCAATTACTCTCCTCTTGTATCTTGAATTTCAAAAGTTAATGTTATTTTCACTTTCTGTTGCCAAATATTAGGCAAAGTTATGAAGTTCTTGAGTGTGAAAAAATATAGAAATGCAAATGGAGATTGGAAGTGTGAGTAGCAGCAGCTGCAAATCAGTTCTTGATCTCTGTATAAATCAAATTCAATTTAACATTATTGTCTGCTTCTTCATACCACCTGCAATTCACACCAGGCATAAGCTAAATTTCTCAAACAACCAAACAAAACTTATTATATTATTAAATACCATAAAAGGAACAAAAATGAGATCAATAAATAGAATTGTGTCTAAATTTATCTCCTTTGAGTGATAATAATATTAATTCAAATCTCTATACAAATATATATACAATTGTAAGAGAAGATAAGAAAGGAGAGAGATTATGAGCTATAACAGTTACTATCACCAAAATTTTTGAAAAATTTATCAATGTTTTTTTTCAAATTTATATAAATGAGAAGATTGAAATGGAGTTATAAACGGAGGAGTGAGAATGTATTCTTAATATATTTATTTAATGGAGAAAATCGTTTGGGGTTTGGTTAAAGTGATAGAAGAAGACGAAGGGGGTAAATAGTAAAAAAGATTAGCAATGGTTATCCTTTGATAATTGTGAAAGTCATCTGAAACTAAAACCCAAAATCTCTTTGCGCAGCTTCACCGGAAGATGTTACAATAATGGTTCTGTTCCGCAAGTTCCTCAAAGCAATACTCGCCGACAACACCCAAACCCAAACCCAAACCCAAACCAAAGCCCGAACCTTCCTCACCTCAATATACGCATTCCCCTGGTACGCGCCTCACCACAACAACCGCCACTCCCGCTCAACAAACAATTACAGATTCCTCTCTCCCGGCCCAGGCCCAGGCCCAGGCTCAGGCCCTCTCTTCCTCACTCGTCCCCCATGGAAACTCTCTCAATCCGCCACCCCTCTCTATTTGCACGAAAACGCCGTCGTTTTCCCCAAGGTCCACCCATTCAATTTGCTTCGCTACGCTCCTCCTCTCCCTCTCCCTCTCCGTTTCCCTGATCCGGTTCCCTCCGTTTCCACCAATCCTTCCCTTTTCCACAGCTTCGTCAATCTCCCCAATTTCATATCCTTCTCCCGATTACTTTCCGGTCCTCTTCTCGCATGGTACCTTCGGGTTTTTTTTTTTTTCTTTTTCTTTATCAAAACATTATTCGGTGCTTTAGTTTGGCCTTTTGTTTTTACACAGGATGATCTCCAACGAGTTCTATACTCCAGCATTTGTAGGGTTGGCACTCTCTGGGGCCACTGATTGGGTGAGTATCAACAACCAATGTTTTTTGCTTTTTATTTTCTATGCTGCAGCTTAACGTTATCGTTCACATGCTAAATGTTATGTTGTTGTGTGATTCTAATAATCGATCGTAGCTGGATGGATACGTGGCTCGGAAGATGAAGATAGATTCCGTAGTGGGTTCCTACCTTGATCCCCTTGCTGACAAGGTAATCTCCACTCTCTTTTCCCCCTTCCACTTGTGTTTTTGTTTCATCTGGTTTTCTTCTTTCTTGAATCCAGGTTCTTATTGGTTGCGTTGCACTTGCCATGGTGCATAAAGATCTACTGCATCGTAAGTCCTTCTGCTTGCTACTCCTCTGGGTTGGTTCCTAAACAGTAGTTGGCTTAAGCATTCATGATTCTATCAAGATTAAAATAGAACTGAGAATACCATAGCATTAGGACATGTCCATGCTCTTAAAAATGGGTCTGCTGCTGTGAATTTGAAAGCAATGTCAACGATTTTAAGTGTCCGCAACAGCAATTGTGGCTTCACTTACCCTATTTGTCCACAATTTCCTGTAATATCAACAAATGCTACCATTCCAATTTAAAGCCTTGGCCTCTGAATGCCAGTTTTTGTAAATCTTTTAACTTAAGATGTTTCAATGTGAGGCTGACAAGAAGATGCAATTTTTATTTAATTATATGTTGCATTATCTCCGATTTATGTTTCGAGAACCCAGATACTACCATCTATGTTATGTAAAACTATCCATTCTGGTTTCTCATTTTGAAGCTGGACTTGTTAGTCTTGTGGTGTTTCGGGACGTCTTCCTTGTGGGGGGTGCAGTATTTCTAAGAGCAAATAGCTTGGGTTGGAAGGTATGAACAATGTGGCTCTCAACTTTTCCTTTTTGCTATAGAAATTGTATGGTCATCAAGATAAAATTTTGATGTTGTGTGTTTCTCTCAGTGGAAAAGCTGGTTTGATTTTTTTAACCTTGATGGAACCGCCCGCCAAAAGGTTGAACCACTCCTTCTAAGCAAGGTAAGCCAGATGGATGTTTTGAGCTTATCATACATATGGTGTTAAGTGCAGACTGGTTTATATAGACTAGTTGTATCACCTGCCTGTTGTGTTACTCTCCTTGATAATATTTAGGGTTATGATTGAGATGTGCAGAGACAGAACATTTTACTATATTTGATTTATTTCTTAACACGATCAACGAGTCCAAGCCCTTCCTTCAATTGAACCAAATGTTGGAGTTTGACTTATTAACATGATGATGATTAGTGTAAGCATATCTATACATGCAATTAGAGGAATTTGAATATTGTTTATCAACGGATACAGGACAAAACCCAAAGCTTGTAATGGTCTCAAATTACGTTCCCAATGACGCCCTTTAACCCTCAAGCTTTTCTAAGTATAAGTCGCTTTAATTTCTGACTTTACAAAACCTTCACTTTAATCCCTAACTTTGCAAAACTTCTCTCACTAAAATGCTTTTAAAAAGGAAAACAAAATGTTATCTAGTAGTAAAATTATGATGGAGAGCCTGTGAAAAGTTCTCTTTTATCTTTCATACTTCTTGAGGAGGAATACAAATTTGAACAGGTGAATACAGTGTTCCAATTAGCTCTAGTTGCTGCTGCTCTTCTTCAACCAGAGTTTGGAACACAGGAAACTCAACCATATATTACTTATTTGAGGTAATCTTGTGAGAATTTTATGTTTCCCTTCCAGCAAATCATACCAGATATGAACTCGAACCATTTTGTGGTGCAGCTATTTAGTGGCTTCAACAACAGTGGCAACTACTGCAGCATATGGAGCACAATTTAGGAGAATTGCAGTAGTATCAAACTCGGTCTAGTTGAGTTTTCATTGAATGCAGAAGGGGATGGAGGGATCAGCATGAACTAGGACTCATTGCACAGTTATTTATAACCATAATGAACAGGCTGTTTTCAAATATTGCCTTCTGATACGAGTTAGCATTAGTGTTTCAAGTTGTTACTGACAAATTTTGGATTTTTTTTTCTTCTGAAATTCTGTGTTTGAGGAAAGTTTAAAACATCGTGATTTTAATTTATTTGATCAAGTCACAGGAAAGCCAAATTATAACCTGAATATACATTGCAACAATGCTATATGACCTGAACATAAATTGTAACAATTTGAAAAGCTTTGACAAAGTCTTAGTTGCCGAATTTGAAAAACAGAGGTAATCGTTTTCGTAATAAGAACTGTATTAAGATAATTAAAATATTTTTCTAATAAAACTGTTAAAAAAACAATATAATAAACGGGATTAATGCACTTAAATATAATTGTATAAGTGGTTTAGACTGGATGAATTTAATCTAATTTTAAATTCGACCCAATTAAGTATAATCGGACTGAGTTTATTTTTTTACTCACGATCAAATTTAACTAAATTCAACTATAATTTTGTTGGGTCAGATAATTTATAACTCAAGAATAAACATCTTCCAGTAACCATTTTTAGTATTTATAAGAAAATGAGAACATTTATGAGAAAGTAATAAATAATATTCAAATGTAATAAAATTATTTTTTTCTTATTATATAAAGCAGATTGAATTTACTGTGTTTAAAATTCGTACATTAATTAAGTAATATTTCTAATAAAAAAACTTGAATTAGTAAAACAAAATTATTTGTAAGGACCCAGTTCAGGATTTGAACCCGACGTGAATCGAACACGCAACCTTCTGATCTGGAGTCAGACGCGCTACCATTGCGCCACGGATCCTTCATATTAAATTTTACAAATAGTATGTATAAGTATTTATTTATAAGAATCCTAAATCTCTACTACTACGCTTTCTTTTCCCCAATTATTTATGAATGATTACGTTACTAATCACTGAAAGTATAGATGATCCCATGTAATAGTACGAATTTGAAACTTTTATTTGGAAACAGAGAATTCTCTTTTTTAAGTTACTCTTTCCATTAATGTATTCTATGACCTTTCTATTACAAGTTATATAACACTTCTTCTTTTTTTTCCTTTTTTTATTGTCTTTAAACAAAATAACACTCAAAAGTGGAAATTATGCAGATTAAATCAAGTCTATTACAAGTTTTTTTTTTTTTAAATTAAAGCAGGAGTTTCGGCTATAAATATCTCCTCCTCCTGCTCTGGCCCATGGCACATGCTTCCAGAGTCAATGATTTATGTTTCTTCCTTTGTAGATAAGGTTGGACAAAAATAACTGATTTTATATTATATTTAAAAAAACTGATCTACTCTTACTAAAAGTTCAATATACTATTTTATGATTTAGTTTTTAAAAACTGAACTTATAACAGTTTCCGTTCAGTTAACTGTGGGAACTGTATCTACTCTTTTCTCTTCTCTAGTTCCCGTTCAATTGCTCCGTCTTGTTAAGAAAACGTTATTTAATACCAAAATATTAATAAAAGAAACATTTCAAATAAAAAATTAATAACGAATTTTTTAAGACAAAATTTTTTTATCACAAATTTTTATATTTTTTCATCAATAAACATATATCACTTTTTAAATAATATTATTTTAAGTAATGAAAGTAAAATATATTTTTTTAAATTTAATTTTATTAAATGATTAAGTAATATAAATCATAAAAAAAAGACTATATAAAAAAAATAATACTTTAAATATATTATATTCTTTAACATATTATTAAATATGTAAAAATATGTTAAAAAAACTTTTAATGATATTAAAATGTGTGTAAGTCCACACACTAAAATAACTATTTATTTTAAAAATCAACTTACTTTAAAATAAATATCAATATTATTTTTAAATGATAGTATTTTACATACTAAAACTAAAACATATTTTTTAACGTTAAATTTTATTAAATGAATATATAATGTAGCAAAAATTATTAATATTATAGAAATATCAAATGAAAAAAAATTAACAAATTTTTATTAAGAGTAATTTTTCTAATATCATCTTTTATTATATTATAATAATTAATGAATATTAGTTTAATTTTTACATAATAAAATATAAATAATAAATAATCGATTAATAAAACAATTTTACGAGAGAACAAAATAAATATAAATAAAAAATTATTTTAAAATAAAATAAGTAGATAAAAAGATAAAATAAATTATATACACATATAAAACAAAAAATATAAATAAAAAATTAAAAAAATAAATATAAAAGTAAAATAATATTCATGAAAAAATAAATATAAATAAAAAAATAAAATAAAATAAATAAATAAATAAATAAATAATAAAATAATTTCCATACACATATAATAATAAAAGAAATATAAATAAAATATAAAATAATAATATCAAATAATTAAAAAGTTAATTTGTAAGACACTTATGAATAAAATAAAATAAATATTAAAATAAATTTCAATTAAAAAAAACATGTATTATTATATCAGTTCAGTTTGATAAAACAAAAAACAATTTTAGTTTTCAGTTCAGTACAGATTTTAGTAATACAGTTGAGTTCTATTTGCCCACCCCTTGTTTTAGCTTTGTTTTTCTTTTTTTATTAACAAAATAACACTCAAATGTCAAACCCATGCAGATTAAATCAAATCTTTGTGCTTACGTCATGTAAAAGTGAGTGAATTCGTCTCCTACAAATTGGTTTCAATTAAAAATAGTTAATTTAATATAATTTATTACTTTCTGAATAAATAATTTTGTCAATACTTATATCCAAATGTTATGTTTTAATTGATTTCAAATTATAATTGTTATATATATATATATATATATAATATTTTTTATTTTATATTGATTTAATTGTATAAATGTTCTTTAATCATAGATAATAAATTAATCCTTTAAAAATAAATTTTCATTTATATTAAATGGAAAAATATAATCTCCAAATTAACCATAAATATATTATTAGCTTAAATTAATCGTAACCTAATTACATAAAAAGTATAAATTACATAAAATATCTATAAAAAGATATACAATGAAGTAAATATAAATTAATCGTAACTTAATTATCTTGTATTGCTTGCTCATTGTGACAAGGAAGTGAGAAAAAAGATTCTTTATAGATCTCGACATGAAAGGATGAAAGATAAAGACGAGCCAATGATAGATTCTCCTTCACCTTCCCCTTCTTATTATATTTGATCAATTGTTTATAATCTTCTCCAACAATATCACCGTCTTTTGTTACGCAAAGTAGGTTGAAGAATCTTCGTGGAAAAACGAGATACACCACACTGGTCTTGGCCCAAGATGATTCTACTTTATATTCTTTCATACTCCATATTTCTATTGAATGGTTGCTCTCTTTAAAAACACATAGACTAAGCAATCCTGCATATTCACTCAAAGCTATTTGATCAATGTTATTCCCGACACCAACTGGCACAACTGTCTCAAAAAACATCCTTTTTGTTACATCAAAGCCAATGATAAAGACAACATGCATCTCTTCCTTCAAACAGCAACCCAACCAATGAATGACATTATTCAAAACTCTGCCTGGCCTATAATTCTCCCAGCCACAGGATGTGAAGGACAGATTGACAGGTTCAATTTTCATCCACTTGTTAGCTCTGATCGAGAAAACTTGCGCCCTTTTTCTATCATCAGTGTTAAGGTTTTTGAAAAGTTGAACCACCAAGTAGTCATCAGTTAATGGGTCATACCCCAAACCTTGAAACAACAAATGATAAGAGACATCTTCGAGGGAATCCATGGGTGACCGACAAACTTGTTTGAGAAAACCTGTGCATGGGTTTCACAGATATATATACTTGCAACTTTTCAAAACTAAAAATCCTCGACAAGAACCTCCAAATCTA